TAATCAGTACATTCACTTTCTCATTGGTCATTCTCAACAGCTAAGCCCAGTACATCAACAGCAGCAGTTAACCTCAACAATCAGATGACCAATGGGAATCAGCAGTCAAATCAACCTTCAGAAGATCAGCAATCGGTGCTGTTGGCGACAGCCCGAGTTACAGTGAAATCACCACGAGGATTCTCCAGCAGAGCCAGAGTCCTCATCGATCAGGGATCAGAGGTGTCATTCATCTCAGAAAAATAAGTAAATCAACTGCACTTGTCCAGGAAATCAACAACGTTGGAATTAATCGGACTTGGAGGAGTTAATTCCGACAGCACGAGAGGATTGGTATCAGTTACACTTCAGGCAATCAACGGAAATCAACAGATTCAGATCAGCGCCCACATATTGGAGAAACTCACCGCAATTCTACCATCGTTCTCATGTGCCTCAGCGAACATCGGTTCATTAGAAAATCTCCAGCTAGCAGATCAGCAGTATCTCAAGCCCGGACCAATCGATATCATCATAGGGGCTGACAACTACGGGCAAATCATCAGAGATGAAGTTGTCAAGTCCAAGCAGTCAAAAGTCGTCGGCCAACGCACCGTCTTTGGTTGGATTCTGTCAGGTCCAATCAACTGCACCGGTTGTTCAGCGAGAATCTCCCTATCAGCTGTAAGGACCTCCTCAAACGAACAACTTCTAGAACTTCTCCAGAAATGTTGGGTCCAGGAAGAGTTACCAATTCAGCAGTCAGAAAATTCAGAGTTATCACCAGACGAGCTGGAGTGTGAGAAATACTTCAGGTCTACACACAGCAGAGATTCAACGGGACGGTACATAGTGAGGCTCCCGTTGAAAACCTCCACAGCAGCTCTCGGGGAGTCGAAATTCAAGGCTTCGCGTCAGCTCAGATCTAAGTCAGCAAACTCACCAATAATCAGGCATATGCTCAGCTGTACAAGGAGTTCATCAACGAGTACGCAACTTTGGGTCATATGCAAAGAGCACCAGAGACAGCAGAACCCGTTCCAGTTTATTATCTTCCACACCACGGGGTTCTGAGAGCAGATGCAATCACCATAAGGTTGAGAGTCGTCTTCAACGGCTCCAGTCCCACTTCATCAGGAACGTCACTCAACAACATTCTACATCCAGGTGGAAAACTTCAGACCAACGCCATGGACTTTCTAACATGGATGAGAAAGCATAGGCTCGTGTTTGGCACTGACATAGTCAAGATGTTCAGGAAAATACGAGTTCATCAGGACAATTGGGACCTGCAGAGAATTTTGTGGGTTGACGACAACAAACAGCAAATCTCCTACCAGCTCACCACCGTCACCTACGGGCTCAATTGCCCCCCATGGCTGTCTCTGAGAGTTCTCCAGCAGTTAGCAGAGGACGAGGGTCCACGATTTCCAACAGCCGTCGAGACAATCACCAGAGGTCGTTGCGTAGACGACATCTACGGCGGAGCGGACTCACCACCAGAAATCAAGGAGATAGTATGGCAGTTACAAGGACTTTGTCAGACAGGAGGCTTCACTCTCCAGAAATGGAGCAGTAATTGCCCTCAGCTCTTGCATGAGCTCGGCCGATCAACAGAGGGAGAAGTCATTCAGCTTGAAGAGTTCGCCACCAAGGTACTGGGTCTGTGTTGGCATCAGTCGTCCGACACATTCCAGTACAAATCCAGAGACTTCAAAACAGAGACGATCACCAAGAGAATTGTCTCTTCAGAGATAGCTCAGATCTTTGATCCTTTGGGATTTATCGCTCCAGTCGTCGTCGAGGGGAAAATTCTCCTTCAGGATCTCTGGAAACTCAAATGCAGTTGGGATGACCTCCTTCCCCAAGAGTACATTCACCGGTGGGAGTCATTTCGCCAGGAACTCACCGAACTAGATAAAGTTGCAGTACCCAGATGGCTCAGACTCTCACCTCAGACAAACGACATCCAATTACATGGATTCGCAGATGCCTCAACAGTAGCTATGAGTGCTGTGGTCTACATTCCTACTCAGAATCTCAACGAGCCAGCCTCCATAGTTTTGGTCTGCGCTAAGACCAAGGTAGCACCGATCAAGCGCATGACTATTCCACGTCGGGAACTTACTGCAGCTCTCCTGTTAACTCAACTCGTAACATCAACGCAGCAGATGCTCCAGCTAGACCAGGTAGAAACTCACCTTTGGTCAGACTCAGCAGTAGCTCTCGCGTGGATCAGGAGTCCGGCCTCGAGATGGAAAGACTTCGTCCACAACAGAGTGGTAAAAATCCAGGAAACTCTCCCGAATGCCACTTGGAGACACGTCAGTGGGAAGGAGAATCCAGCCGACTGCGCCTCCAGGGGCATAACAACAAGTCAGCTAGCAGATCATCACCTCTGGTGGACAGGACCTGATTGGATAAATCAGGACCCTGAAGACTGGCCACGATCAACTATCGATGCTCCACCAATGGACATCCCAGAAGTGGCCAAAGAAGCTAAACCAGCAAAATCCCACCCAGTCGTACAGAGAATCAACGAGATTGCCGAGCTCCTCAACAGATACAGCACGATGGCAAAGCTGTTAGCAGTAACAGCGACCATCAACAGGGCCATCGACAGATTCAGGAGGCAGCCAATGCCCCCGGGATCTATCTTGACGACCAGAGAACTCAACGATGCGAGATTATTTTGGGTAAAAATAACACAACACCAGTACTTTGTTTCAGAACTCAGGGTACTTCTCAGAAATCAGCAGCTACCTAGAAATCACCAGTTAGCGAAATTCACCCCAACTCTGAACGAGGAAGCCATCATGAGACTTGGGGGACGCCTCAAGAACTCAGCACTCCATCCAGAACAGATCCACCCAATAATCTTGCCACGTTAGTCCAGATTCACCACACTCGTCATCGCAGAAGCTCACCAGAAGACCCTCCACGGAGGGACACAGCTCACCTTGGCCTACACTCGGCAACGCTATTGGATACTCGGTGGCAGGGGCACAGTCAGAGCCTATATCCTACGCTGTGCTATCTGCGCCAGACACCGAGCTAGACAGGCTCAGCAACAGATGGGACAATTGCCCGCAACCAGAGTCTCACCAGCAAGAGCATTTCTCCACACGGGGGTGGACTATGCAGGTCCTTTCGCCATCCTCAAGTGGAGACCCACGAATGCTCAACCGGTATCAGTGCACATCGCAGTGTTCGTGTGCTTCACCACGTCAGCAATTCACCTAGAGCTCGTCAACAGGCAAACCACAGAAGCCTTCCTCGGAGCTTACAAGAGATTCACCGGAAGACGAGGTATTGCAGCAGTCATGTACAGTGACAATGCCACCACCTTCGTCGGAGCAGCAGATCAACTCGAAAGGCTCTATCACCAAGCATCTAAAGAAAATCAACGTGTTCAGGCTGCTCTCGCCACCAATGGCACTCAGTGGAGCTTCTCACCACCTAGAGCACCCCATTTTGGTGGCAAATGGGAAGCAGCAGTAAAATCAACGAAGCATCACCTCAAGAGAGTCCTGGGAACGACAACGCTAACATTTGAGGAACTCAACACAGTCTTAGTTCAGATTGAAGCCTGCCTAAACTCCAGGCCAATCTGTCCGATGTCAGACGACCCAGAANAATTTGAGGAACTCAATACAGTCTTAGTTCAGATTGAAGCCTGCCTAAACTCCAGGCCAATCTGTCCGATGTCAGACGACCCAGAAGATCTCCAGGTTCTCACCCCAGGACACTTCTTAATCGGCGAGCCTCTACAGATAGTACCAGAGTCATCCTACGTCGACGAGAATCCCCTCAAGATGAGGAGATGGAACCTCGTGACTCGGATAGTTCAACAGTTCTGGTCCAGGTGGTCCAAAGA